GCACTGATTCAGTTCAGCCGCTTCTTTCTTGTGCCAGTTATGCCAATGCTTCTCCTGGCAGAATCTTATCCCTAAAAAATAAACTATCCCGCAATCCTCATGGGAACTGTTCGATTGCTCAGTATGTCAAAGACATGGAGGCCATGCCTCTGAACTCGCCTTAGCCTAAAGCCATGCTTCCGATGCGGATCTCCTTATCTCCATATGCAATCAGCTTGGCGAGGACTATCGCTCAATTTTGTCCGCACTTCGTCTTCGCACCAATCCTACCACAATGATTGAACTTTCTGAGATTCTCACTGGTCATGAGCGTTTGCTCAAGGATTCTGAAGATTCAGCGCCCTCTCTATTGCCTACTGCCAACCTCACCGAAAGTGGCTACTCATCTTCTAGCCAACATGACTCGTCCAGATTCTCTTCCATGCGTGGACGTGGCCGTGGAAAGACGGCTCACCATGGTGGTTTTATTTCTTCTAATGGTGGACATCGTTCTCCAGGTCCAGTATGTCGTTTCTGTAACATTTCTGGCCATGTGGTTTGTGATTGTCGTAAATTGGCATGTTTTTTGCATGACAACCATGTTTCAACGCAGGCTCCTCCTCATGTAGCTAATCCTACATATTCTGCTCCGGCTAATCCATCCACTCAGCCTTGGTTATTTGATAGTGATGCTTCACATCACACTGCTTCAAGTGTTTCTCACTTGAAGGATTTCTCCTCCTATGATGGTCTCGATGAGATCCGTCTGGGCAATGGTACTTCTTTACCTATCTCCCATATTGGCCTTACTACTATTCCTACTCCTGATCGTTCCTTTTCCCTTACCCCTATTTTGTGTGCTCCTTAGCTTTTAAAAAAACAGTCTCTGTTTCTCAATTGTGTCATACTAATAATGTTTCCATGGAATTTTTCCCTACCTATTTTTTTGTCAAGGATCGACACACGGGAAAAATTCTTATGCGGGGTGAAAATCATGATGGTGTTTACTATGCTCCACAGTTTCGCCAGTCCTCTCCTCAATTGCATCATACAAGTCTAGACGTAGTCTCTCGGATGCATCATACTTTTGGTCATCCATCTAATAAAACATTACTCTTAATGTCTGCTCATTGTAATAAAAACTAGATGTTACCTCTCTCAATGATTTTTATTGTTATTCTTGCAAAATCAATATAAAGTCATAAATTACCGTTTGCAGAGAAGTCTTTTTAGTACTTGTCCTCTTGAGTTAATTTATACCGATGTTTGGAGTACTAAACAAGTGTAATCAGATGGGTATCTTTATTATGTCATTTTTGTTGATCATTTTACCAAATATGTCTGGTTGTATCCCATGAAACGCAAATCTGATGTTTCTAATATTTTTCCTCAGTTTAAGCATTTGACAGAAAAATACTTCAATCACTCCATTATTTTTCCATTTTCGATAATGGTGGTGAATTTCTTAAACTTTTGTCTACACTTAATCTTGAGGGTATTTCTCATTTTACTTCTCCTCCACATACGCCCGAACATAATGGTACTGCGGAACGGCGTCATCGCCATGTTGTTGAAACACGTCTTTCTCTATTGCATAGTGCTAGTCTACTTATTTCGTACTCGCCTCATGCTTTTCAAACCGTTGTCTATTTTATCAATCGTATGCCTACCGTTGTACTTAATAATAAATCCCCTTACTCTATCCTTTTTGGTCATGAGCCTAATTACGCTAAACTTCAACCATTTGGTTGTTTATGTTTTCCGTGGTTACGCCTTTATACTAGCCATAAGCTCCAACCTAGGTTCACTCCATGTATATTTTTGAGGTACTCAACCTCCCAATCTGCCTATAAGTGTTACGATTCTGTCTCTGGTCTTATATATCTTTCACGTCATGTGCAATTTATTCCACATATGAACCCAGCTGCTAACGCCCCGTGTGCTAGTCCTTCACATTTCCCCTCTTCTGTTTTGCTCCCACATTCTGTCCATGTACCCTCTTCTGCCTCTTGCAGTTCATCATCTTCACCATATTCCTTACCCGTATCCCAACTTTCACCACCTCCCAGTTTGGTCCTTCCCTCTCCAGACCATTCCCTTAGTCAAGCTCCCACCTCTCCAATCCATTCACCCCCTTTGCCTACCCCTATATCTCCAACACTCACTCCTAATGAGTCATCCCCATCCCCTCCACCGCCCACTATCCATCCCCCTCTCAAACGCAATTGTCATCCAAACCCCCGTTACTTTGGCCCGTCATTCATCAATCTATCCGCTGTCCATCCCCCCATGACTACCCTTATCCCTACATCTGTTGCCCAGGCCTTAAAGGATCCCTTATGGAAACACATTATGGATGCAGAATATTTTGCCTTCCTTCGTAACAACACTTGGGACTTGGTTTCCCGGGACAATCAACCTACAGTTGGATGCAAATGGGTTTTCCGAGTTAAACGCAAGTCGGATGGTACTATTGATAAATATAAAGCCCGTCTTCTTGCTAAAGGCTTCTATCAAGAGTTCGGGCGAGACTACACTGACACTTTTAGTCCCGTTATGAAGAAACCACCGTGATATGTTAATTCGGCAATCCCATCTCATGTATGTCGACTTAAAAAAACCTCTATGGGATTAAACAAGCACCTTGGGCATGGTACATGGAGTTATCAACGTTCTTGCTTCAATCCGGTTTTGTGAAATCTTGGGCCGATGCCTCCTTGTTTATTTATCAACATCATGGCACCACTATTTATTTCTTGGTACATGTTGATGACATTGTGCTAACGGGTAACGATGATCGTTTCATCTGCCACTTTGTCTCTATTTTATCCAGCATATTTTCCTTGAAGGATTTAGGCTCCTTGAATCACTTTGTGGGCATCGAAGCTATCTTCACTTCATCGGGAATTTTTTTTGTCTCAAGGGCAGTACATTCTGGACATCTTATCCACTTTTCATATGGAGGGCGCCAAATCTGTTTCTACTCCCATGTCTTCAAGTGAAACACTACCACCTGCGGATCCTGTTAATGTTGTTGATATTTCAGAATATCGGCATTTTCTTGGTCTTCTACAGTATCTTAGTCACACTTGTCCTGATATTTCCTGTGTTGTGAATCGCCTCTCCCAGTTTATGCACGTTCGTCCTCAAGCTGATCATTGGTTAGCTGCCAGACGTATCCTGCATTATTTAAAGGGTACTGTCTGTCATGGATTACTTCTACGTAAAAGCTCAACACCCTTATCTCTTACAACCTTTTAGGATGCCGATTGGGGTGGTTCGGCTTCCTCTGGACGTTCTACAACTGCATATGTTATCTGATCTATTTTGGCTCTACTGTTATCTCCTGGAAATCTGCACTTCAAAAAACAGTTTCCCGCTCTTCCACGGAGGCTGAGTATCGCGCTCTAGCCCATGCTACTGCTGAGGTTCTTTGGATCTAACATTTGCTTCGTGAAATTGGTGTTTCAGCCTCTCGTGTTCCCTCTCTATTTTGTGACAACTTAAGTGCCACCTATGTATGCAAAAATCCAGTGTTTCACTCCCGCATGAAACATCTCTCTTTAGACTATTTCTTTGTTCGTGATCTTGTTGCAGATGGTGCCTTACATGTTCATCATATCTCTTCCAAGGCCCAACTTGCTGATACACTTACCAAGTTACCAGGCAGCTCGGTGGTGCATTGTTTCTTCGTTTTCGTTCCAAGATTGGCGTCTCCGATGGATCCTCCATCTTGCGGGGGCGTGTTAGACTTATATCTTAATCATTTAAGTTATTCATTTAATGCATGACGTACTTATCGTCTATGGTGTTGTAACCTCTTCCTACTTTTACTCCTTACAAATAGACTAGCACATAGTTAACTCTTATATATACGTTTGTAATTGTTTCACAAAGCATCAATTAAAATCACACTTTACAGCTTGTTGGTTCCAAAGAGCCATGGGTGGCCAAGCAATAGGTAAAATACAAGGAAGGCCACTAGCCGTTAGCCTGTTAGGGACCACACCGGAATCGAAACGGCCGATTCAGGCTCAAATTTGGGCACTCGAGACCGCTTAATACAAACCGAGGGTACCGGTTACTATTTACCCCTGAACTAGAAAATTCAGTCTTCTGATAGGTCCCATTACCACTTCCCACCGGGACAGTTCTGATTCACGACTGGTATCCAATCCACCTCTACTTGAAATGAATCATATTTTAATAACTAAATACACATCAAATAATAATGAATCATTTTAAAAACTAAATACGCATCAAATAATAATGAATCATTTTTAAAAACTATGATTTTGGGTGCGTAACTTCGCTAATTCATCCAACACAAAACCCGAATTCCTTCAAAAATTCTAGGATCAAACAAAATTTACAAAATACGTCGTAACAAATACCTTCTCGCAATATAATATCATAAATTGTGTGCCCGTTTGAGCATATCAAAATTGGCTGAATCGGCTGATTCTATTGAAATTTATAAAAGTGTGGTTGAAGCGGTGGAATTGGCTGATTCTGCTAATTTATGAAAACATTAAATTTAAAATATATTTTATTAATAAATTAAATGAAAAATTAAATGTAAAAATAGTTAAAATGGACCTCTATACTAATTTCAACCAATACAATCATAAAAGTAATTTCAACTTTACTTTTTCTTATTATTACACAGTTTAACGTGCGAAAGCAAAAGTGACGTGTTTGGTGAAAGATTTGGTTGATAAGTCCTGAAAAAACATGACCGACAAACGGGCTATGCATATTACAGAGTTGGGTTCTCCAACCTTGCTCGTTCATGGACCTTAATGTGGTGCAATAAAAAAAAAATGACGCGTGTAGAAAAGCTTATTGTACTCTTCAAGAGAATAATTTTTCTTTAAGCTATTTTCTAACAAAGTTAATTAGTTTAAAACTACTTCCCAACTAACTTACTCAAACAAGAACTAATTGTGATTATAATCATTTTAAACAATAGTTTACTATACATATAATCAATTACAAAAGCAATATAGTATTTTGTAACTGTCCAAACAAGCTCTCAATAATATGTGCCTCATATTGTAGACTCCATTATATCTTAAATAACTACCAATAAATTAAATACATTGTTCATAAATTATTGCCCAGGATTGCCCATCTAACAAAATAATAAAATAAACGACTAAGTTATCCCCCTCATAAAAAACTACTAATTTTCTGTAGAAAAGCTAATGATTAATGTGCAAAGAGGAAAAAGGATGTAACGAGTTAAACAGTACTAATTCAAAGAAGGCTGCATTCAGGACGATGATTCCTTGTTTTGAAGGTAGATGATGAGGTTGCCTAATGCAGTGTCTGGATCATCACTCTTCATAAGCTCACCAGCGATTTCAGCCGGCGTAGCTTCAACGTTCAAAAGCAGTTGCTCAATCTTCGGGTACAGATCATGGTGCTGGTCTATCTTGAGGTAATTAGAGGCGAGGGTGGTGAAACCAGTGAAGGTGCAATAGGACATGTGGATGTGAATGTCCATACGACCCGGGCGGAGCAATGCAGGGTCAAGACGATCCTTGTGGTTGGTGGTGAACACTACGATCCTCTCGTCCCCGCAGCTTGACCACAATCCATCTATGAAGTTTAGCAGCCCGGAGAGTGTTATCTACATCCATATCAATCCACAAACAAATCACACACAAACTCATTGCATTAAAATCTCAATCCAGAAGTGTTGTATACGGTAATGTATTATTCACCAATTCTAGGTTGTGCAAACGATATTGTTAGTTATTTAACGCTCATATAAATTACTCTGTGTAATGTATAAGATCTAGAACTGCCTTCCAGATAAATAAATGATAAAGACTAAGTAGAACTTTCTCCAAATTCAGTAGAAGTTGATTTTTTTTTTCAAAAATTAGTCTAAATAGAGTAAAAAATAATGTGAAATTTCAAAATGAGTATTATGTTTCAAAATTAGTCTAAAAGTACTACCAATTATTACATTAATATAGTCATAGTAATGTCTCATAGTGCCACCATTGTGATTCTAGAATAACAATAATTTACTACTACGTACTATTTAGAGATGTTACTATGTAAAAATGCATATAGTCTCTAGAACTAGCCAGAGTCACACTCACTATCTCTCAACTTGATTAAAATCCAATTTACATTTTTACATGTTGAACGCCCTCAGGGATGGAATGTAATCCGTTTTTTAGAAGTATTTACACCAAATATAGTGTCACTTGCACCAAGTATTTTACTACTACGTATTTTATTCACTGTAGCATGTGAAGACATCATTTTGGATATGAGAGGACTATCTCCGTGAATTGGTCAAAATGAGTCAAGTTATACAAAGTGATACAGAGTAAATCTTTCTGTATACTTGCACAAAAATGAGTCAACATTCCTGGACTGCTGGTTCTTTATTTCACAGTAAAAAACAGAGAAAGTAGACTGACCTTGTCATCCTCAGGAACTTGATTTTCTGATTCTCGATTCTGCAACCCTACATTGCAGTCAATGTCTTCAATCACAAGGATAGAACGGTTAGCAGAACCGATCAGCAACCTTCTCAAATCCGAATTGCACTGAACCTCCCTTAAATCCAGGTCGTACACATCAAACTTGAGGTAATTGGCCATGGCCGCCACCAAGCTCGACTTCCCGGTCCCGGGAGGTCCATACAGTAAGTACCCTCTCTTCCAAGCCTTCCCCACTCTCCTGTAATAATCCCTTCTGCTTATAAACCTATCCAGATCCTCCACTATCTCCTTCTTCGCCTCCTCCGGCATCGCCATTGTATTGAATGTAGCCGGGTGGTTCAGCGCGACGGAGCTCCAGTAATCCGTCCCGCTGTAATCCACTGTGTGCAGCCTCACGGAACGCATCTGCTCCTTGATCTCCTTCGACCTATTGAGAATGTAGGGTAAGTATACCTTCAAGACTGTGTCTTTGTGCTTCTTGCAGAAGCTTAGCTCCAAATACCTATGCTCTGTTTTGGCGGCACCGGAATCCCCCTTTCCGGTGACTTTGACGGCCGCGGATTTGAGTACCCACTCCAGCTTCACGCCGTCGTGGTAATCGACGATCTCCTGGTGGCGATCGACGGTGACGATCAATTCCTCGTCCTTCTCGGGTTTGACCACTTTGATTCTCCGCGTTGCAGGGGAAACCTTGGTGCCCAAGAAAATGGTGGCGGCCTCGAACATCTGGTTTGAAGTCAGGCCGTCGGACTCTTCGATGACGACGGTGAGTTTTGAGGAGAACCGATTGAAGAGGTTTTGGAGGCGCGTGGAGATGTGGGAGCGGAGGGCGTCCGGGACGAGGTCGGTGGCTATGGTACGGAGGAAGATGGCGGAGGCGGCCAGAGAGGTTGCGGCGGCGAGAACCGAGCCGGATGAAACGGAGAGCCGCGAGGTGGCTTCGGAGAACCCCATCGTTTTCGTAAACTCGGTTGTTTAAGGATGGAATGGAAAATCAGGCGGCGGAGTAACAAGATGCATGGTTGGGACTTGGGAGAACTTGTGATTTGTGAGAGGGTTTAAGTGGTTAATTTTGATAAAATTGAGGCTAAGATCGTGTTAAATGACTTGCACCGTACTACACTACTACTGGACATTTTCGCAATTTAGGTTGGAAAATTTTGACATTTGTTAAATGAACATCAATGCACTTTTATTAAGGGGTGTTTGGAAATAATTTTGGGAAGCAGAAACAGAATCAAAATTAGTTTTAAAAAAATTGATTCTAGGAATAATTTAAAGTACCAGAATCACTTCTACACTTTCACCAAAACACTCTAACTTTCCCCGAATGAGCAGAAACAGATTTAAGAATCAAATCCAAACAACCCCTTAAATAATACACTCCCTCCGTCCCAATTTGATGATCTCATTTCTTTTGGGCTCAAAGATTAAGGAAGTGGTTGAAAATGTAAAAGTTGTAGTTGAGATTTGAGTAAAAAAAAGGTGAAATGATGTGAACCACATATTTCTTTCCAAAAAGAGAAATGGGACTATCAATTTGGGACGGCCGAGAAAGGAAATATGAGATCATCAAATTGGGACGGAGGGAGTATTTATTTTGTTTAGTATTTGGGCCTAATAATGAATATCGTACTATTTGGTTTATATCTTCTAATTTACTTTCTTTTTCTTAACTTTGATTTTATAAAAATTTCTTAAATTGTATCTATAATCAAATCACAAATTGATCCAGCAGCTCATCTCAAATGAGTCTTTCTACGTACTTTTTCAGTACATAACACTCATTAGTTTCATGAGTGTCACTCTTGTGTAATTGGCACTACTTTCCCCTGGGTAGTCTGGCCACTCATAATCAAATATTCAAATATCTAAGGATCATAAATTGAAATTTTCAAATTTATTTTTTTAGATTTTTTGTTCAACTCAAAAAACTAGAAAAAATCTAGCAGGGGTTTTTGAAGAAAGATGTATGGTTCAGCTAGGGGCTCGGGTCAGTTAGGACCCGATTTCGGGTCGAGACCGCCTAGTCCTTCCAATTTTTTCAAGGCCCGGCCAATAGTAATCAAGTTTTGGGTTGGTTCCGAGTACCCGGACATGCCGGACAATCGTGTCCCGGTCCCGGACCCGTTATAGTTTTTCACCCGGTTTGAAGCTATTTAAAAAAGTTTGTTGGTCTAAGACCAGAACTGCCCGATTCGGTCTCAAATATTGGAACCCAGAACATGGACCAGATGTGGTACCCCATCCTGCACTAAGACTAATTTTCCGAACTCGGTCTGGTCTCACACAACAGCAAGCCCGGTTACGAACCAGCTCGAGATCGCCAACCAAGACCACCCCTAGCTTCAACTACTCCGTATAATGTTACTAATAATTAGTGTTCGATGAGCCTTTTTGTTTCTTTGAATTGTGTCATTAGGACGTTTTTACTTGGATTGAAATTTACTGGTCTAGTCTGGTCTGAATTAATCTTGATTCATAAATGTCTGGTCTTTGTGTATTTTATAATTATAAAAATTTGGTCTAATCTAACTTGATGTGGTCTATTCAAGATAGTCTAGGACTAAAAACAGTCCAAATAAGAACATCCTTAAGCCTTTATTTTCTCTTTCAACCACCAACTATGTTCCTATAAATTGACTTGGGTCTTATTTAAGAATCCTTCGAGGAGAGGCTACAATGCCCACAAATGGCATAGCTAGGGAAAAACAACAACTTTAAAAAAAAAAAGTTCCGTTTGGGATTGAACCGGCCCAGACCAGCCGGTTCCGCTCCCTAAAATGGGACCAATCTATTCTTGTGAACTGACCAATTCAGGTCCCAACTAGGCATGGACCGGTTCCAGTCGGTCCGAACTGGGAACCGGCCTGACTCGCAACTGTGCGGGCCTAGACCAACCTGTGAACCGATTAGGCAACCGGGCCTAGGACCAGCGTGGTATATTAGAGCAGTCCGGTTCCGGGCCAACCCTTCCTTTGGAACCGGCCCGGTTCGGGACTATTTAACTTTTTTTTACAATTTTTTTTTTTTTGCTTTTCCCGGGTTGGGCTAGGTTTTTTGGAAGCGTTTGGGGGGTGGGGGGGGGGTCGGGGTTTAATTAGACAAGCAAAAAACAAAAAAGAACCGGCCCGGACTGGCCCGGGCCCGGGCCCGGGTGCAAACAAGGCCGGTCCCTGGCCCGCCCCCAAAAAATAAAAGCCCAATTTGGACCGGTCCGGAGCCGGTCCATGCCTAGTCCCAACCGGTCCAAGACCATTGAGCAAGTCCAACTGAGAAAGACAAAATGATAGAAACGATTGGACATTTGGACATTATCAAGTTCATTTGTTTACAAATGATTCCAGTACCTAAGCCGATTTCAGTATAGAATCCTCTCTGTGATTCAAACTTTGACGCAATACTTCATAAAAGAAGTGTTACAAAACCATCACTCTTCTAGCTTGAACGACTATATTGTTACAAACAGATTAAACACAGAAGAAAAAGAAGGAAACCCGTAATCATTAAACTATAGCTGAACGGCCTGAACCAAACACCTTTGTACGGTTTCTATTTTACTTCATAACAATGTCTCTATATTATTTCATAACAATGTCGCAACTGGGCACTATTGGCCGCAATTTTTTTTTCATTTACCCCAATGCCGCAAAGGCTCACACCTACGGTGGGGTAAGGGGGTCGGATGCACGCAGTCTTGCCCCTGTACTAAAGCACAGAGAGACTGTTTCTAGGGGTGGACCGGTTCCGGTTCGGGCCCGGTTCGGGCCTGGGCCCGGCCGGGCCTCGGTTCAGAAAAAGGAGGCCCGGGCCCGAACCGGTGGTGGGCGGTTCCGGTTCCGGTTCCGGGCCAGAACCGGGCCGGGCCGGGCCACCCGGAATGTTTTTTTTTTTTTCTTCTTCTCTTATTTAACCCCCTACCCCTCCCCCTCCACCCCAAACCACCTCAAATGGCCCAAAATACCTAATCCAACCCAAAACTTAAAAAAATTTCAAAAAAAAAAAAAATTAAATTCTGGCCCGAACCGGGCCCGAACCGGCCGGGCCGGTTCACTAAACTGGAGGCCCGGGCCCGGACCGGTATACCACCGGGCCTGGAGGCCCGAACCGGAACCGAACCGGTTGACCGGGCCGGTCCGGGCCCGCACAGTAGCGGGCCGGTCCGGTTCCGGGCCGGTTGGCCCGGCCCGAGTCCATCCCTAACTGTTTCTGGATGACCAATAGTGAAAATTGGGTCCAAAATTGCATGGATTGACTGTTGCTTCATAACAATGGTAACAAGCTTATTATTCACTTGTGAAGTTGTGAGAGAAAATGATACAAATAAATTACAAATTTATAACTCACTTGTGAGAGAAAATGATACAAATAAATTACAAATTTACAATAAACATGTATCATACTCAGATTGAGATTTGAGAACGATTCAAATAAATTACAAATTTAGTACATACCACATACCATACTCAAATCAAGAATTTATATATAGGATCAAGCATTATTGGCCTCACAAGTATCAATAGCAAAGAATGACCTTCAAACCCAATTGTATAAAATAAATAAATAAATAACTGATGTAGCCTTGAGATGGAAACTTGCGGCAGTAGTTTAAATATCACTTGTTGTAGGTGTGGAATTGTGAAGAGCCTGATTTATTCCTTACTTGAGTTTTTTTTATTAATCTCCAACCACTGCACAGTTATATGAGCAACGCATTAAATCAAAACTCGAAGGTTGACACAGTATTTCTTCTAATAAAGAAACTTCTAGGAAAAGCAAAGGGACAGCAACTTGAAGGCACAAGTCCACCCCACACCCTTCAATGGGTACAAGGGATGTGTTAGATGACCCATGGATCTTGGGAGAGGTTACAATGTGAAGTACGTAGTATTAGATATACTACGTATAAGAATTTCATGTGAACATGCAAAATAGTGCGGAATATTTTACTTTCAGTTAAATCTCCAAAAGAGAAAACATATTTGTGAGTGAAACATATTTGTGACTATGCAGTGTTTTTTAAAGGCAAGACCATTCAGCTTGAGGGCAAGACCATTCAGCTTGAGTATGTCAGACTTTTCATGGACAAGTGGAAGTTCTACAACAAGAATTTAGTACTGTAGTTAACTTCTAAAAAGGCTGATCATGAGACAAGTTCTCCATGGTGTTCAGTTGTTCACTTTGGCTACAGTGTCTCCCTCCATATGGTGTGTATGTTGAAGATTGAATATTAAAGTCCTACTATTTCCACCTAAAAATGTTTTAGACGGGCTACTTAATATAATCCACACTTACTGATCAACCTATTATCCTGAAGTTTCTGTTCTAACCCCAGCTACATGTCTGCAACGGTACTGCCCACCCTGGCCCCTTTAAAAATTACCTTATATGTCTTGTTTTCCATCATTCTCTATTAATTACATCCAGAATTAATGAACAAAAAATGAGCTTCAAACAAAACAACCAGTTACCATTATTATCATGGTGTGTCCAATTGAGGCATTCTGCCAAGGCTTTCCGCATTTACCATCTTTAAATAACTGCTAACAATCTTCTGATCCAACTCATAGTAAAATTCCATCTTATCCAAACGCTTCAGGTCCAGATCAATGAAAGCTACCTATGTATTTGGAGCAATAATGATCATTAAAACAAGAAAAGATATATACACAGGTAATCTATAAGGACAACATGATCAAGTGACAATCTTAGTTACTCCCCATCATGTTAGTCAGAACTAACAACTATATATAGAAATGATCTAACATCCTGGAACTAAAAAATGATGAAGCCAACAGCATTTTACTTGATAAGATCTTTCTAAGTGCAGTCTTAACTGCAGCAGGTTACAGCAGTTTTTTTTTTTTCAAAAATGACTTTTCAAGAATCCACCTTGTCCAAGTGCTAGAGAGCACTTGGATTTTGACAGGTCAGTCCATTCGTAAATTTTCTCACTAGCAGTTTAGTTACATGCCCCATCCTGTTGGATTGGCAGCTTCTTGGACAAGGTGGATTATTTCCATTCAATAGCAGGCTTTGGGCACTAGTCTGTGACAGCCAAGGGACGCAATGTCGCGAGGCGCACTCAAGGCACTAGAGGACTCAAATCGCATGAGGCGCAAGGATCGCAATGCCTGACTAATGTCAGGAGCACCATCTACATACAATAAAATTTAGGCCATAGGAAAAAAAAGAAACTTGTTAGTCGTTAGGCATAAAGTATAAAACAGAAGAAGAAAATGACAGAAAAAGGGGGAAAAAAAAAGATAAAGGTGCAGACTTTTGAATGATGAGATAAAAAATAAAGAAGCTATAGATTTTACATCAAAAGGCAAAAAATAGAAAAATAAGAAGCGAAGAAATTATAAAAGGCCAGAAAGAAGATAAAAAAATAGGAGGGTCACCTCCTTGTTGTGCAGGGTGCGGGTCAAGCACAAGAAATAAGAATGCAATGCTAAAAACTTTCTAAGTTTCTGCTGATTCCTTGATACATTGACTAAGAAGGGTTTTAACAGGGTTTAAGTTGTGTTTTTCCTATTAGTTGAATGGGCTATATCTTACTATTGATAAGGGTGTATTTAAAATAGGCCCAAATCTGTTTTTTAATAACTTCAGAACCCCAATTTCCCTCTGGAGATTTTCCCTAGCAAAAGCTTAGGGTTCGATTTTCGCCGTCTTGGTGCGGCGCTCTTTATCGACACAGCACTGCGTCATATTGCTCTAGATGGACGACTGTGGTAGCGAGAAGGTGGAGGACAAAGCAGGAGAGAGACGCAGGGATGATCGAGACCATGAGGGCGAAGTGGTGGATAACCTCGTCGACAAATACGGAGGCCTGGGAATTGGGGGAATCGAGGACGAATTGTTGCTTGAGGACGAAGAGGAGGGGGAAGCGGCGATCGGGGCAGCGAAGCCGGAGGAGTTTCCGGTTGTTGGGACGATTCTCACGGACAATGTTGTTCCTTTTCCGTTCTTCAGGGATTTCATGGCAGATTTATGGCGTCCGAGCAAAGGAATCTCGATACAGGAGATTGGTGAAATGAGGTACCTACTTCAATTTTTCCACTCTGTTGATATGAATCGTGTCCAGGATAGTGGACCCTGGCTTTTTTATCAGAATTTGTTTGTGTTAAAAGCTATTAAACCGGGTGATATCCCACTCAAGGTTTCGCTAGATGCATTTGAGATCTGGGTACAGGTTCACAATGTGCCGTATAGTTATGATAATCTGGGAACGGCTAGAAGAAGTGGGAATCATCTGGGTGAATTTGTCACTTGGGATGATAAACAATTTGATAAAAAGAGGGAAGCTTATATGCGTGTGAGAGTTCGCATGAACGTGAGTAAACCTTTAAAGATTGGGACCACTCTAAGAAAAGCAAGGGAGAAGGGCACTGGGTAGACTTTAAATATGAGAAGCTCCCAAGTTTAAATATGAGAAATTATGTCCTCTTCTGTACGAAGAAAAGGGTCAAGCTTTGACTAGGCTTTTGGGCCGTGGCTAAGAGCGGGTGGACGGAAATCAAAGCCTACTATAGGTTGTAAATGGTTGATTTCGGAAGGGAGCTCCTCAGGAGGTGGCAAGAATATAACACGCATGGTGAGGTCAGTGCAGGACATGGACCCAGATGAGACAGGAGAGAGCACTCAAGCTGGAACGGGAATGCTACTAATTCAGGTGAGACACAAGGGGATGGAGGACCAGGAGAGCTGAAGAGAAGACGCACTTGGGAGGAACAGGCCAAGGAGGATGCTGCAAAGAATGCTATGACGCTGGACTCCACAAAAAACAGGGTTGGGGCCGGCGCTGCACTCCAGCCCCGCTAGACGTTCTAAAGCTGACAATGGTTATGTTAGCCGAGAGACTTCTTTATTCTCTTTGTTTTGCTTTATTTATTTCCCACGTTTTGGATGTTTTTGTTGTTTTAGTTATGCTGTGTTTTTCCAGCAAAAAAACTCTTGAAACTAAGACGGGATGAGGAGTCATGTCTGCAAGTCATAGGCTCAGGTAAGCCCGAAGCGGGATCAGCGAATTATATGGCTTCTCCAGAGGTGATTAATTCAAAGTCTGGTCCTTGGGTGGACGGTAGACAGGAGACTTGTTGTCACTTTGTAACCTGTTTTGGTTTGGTCTAGTTAACCCAGTTTCGTTCAAAAAAAAAACTTCAGAACCCTTTATAGCCCAGGCGAATCAGGCGTGCACCTCTGCACCTCTGCCTGCGCTTATATCGTGACTCACTCAGACAGCCTCACCTAGAAGAGTATTAGGCACTGCACCTCTATAGCGCCTCGCCTGATGACGGCCCACTAGAAAAGCGGACACTCACTTAAACAGCTAGGGTACAGAAAATAATATTGAAAAGGGGAGCCTGACAATTAGAATTACATTCAAGAAAGCGGGTTTTATGCTTAGACTGCACACAGAGTATATCCACAACCTAAAGGGAAATGTGTTCACACTCAGTTTATCAACAGGCATAATAAATGCTTAACACTTAAACTGTTTAAACACGTGTAATAGGCTGAACACCTTGTTCAACGTGTCTTTAGATGGACAATACATTGTTTCAGTTATGTAGTGAATATTGGATATATTTGGGTGTATTGAATTTTGATTAAAAAAAATAAATAAAGATTTCTGTTTTAAACCAGATTCAAAGAGTTCGAATTGCAAAAGAGAAATGTGGTATACCTTGTAATCAAAATTTTGATTGGTTGACTTTAAGGAGACATGATTATATGAAGACTCCCCTTTCCCATCTTCCTGATGTTTGAAGCTAATCATCACACCCAAGTCCTTCGCAGTAGTAGCTATTAAAAAGTCCCTCAATATCTTCCCACTTTCCTCCATTGAAATAGAATGCAAGGTGTCATATCTTTTTGAAAAGCTGCTGCCCAATTCTCTACATACCATACAGGGCTGTGAAATAAAATTATAATACACATGAATTGCACCCTCGATGTCAAAAACGTCAAGCTTCTGGACTTCAAGAAGTCTATTTAGTACTCCTGAACTTAAAACTGCCTCAGAGATGAGCTCAAGAAAACAATTAGTACGCATCCCTTCTTCTGCCAAAATTATATTCTTAAGTGCATCTTCCAATGCCTCACAAACTTTAGATGTTGTAGGTTCCGCAACACCACCCAGACAGCCAAATATGAGAGAACCATCCAGAAAAACTCGGAAGTTATTTTGTGGGGTCAATAAAAGATCATTCATTGCTTTATCCAATCTTTCTTTGGATCCAGAAAACATATCCAGGGGATCATATTCACTTATATATGATATCTGGGGGAAAATGGTGAAGAGCACCGATCATGAGAAACATGTTGAAGTAAAGAGTTGTACAGCATCATTAGAACTATAAAATGGAATTAAGATGGCCAACTGAGAATATAACACGTGTAAAGGTGCCAAATTTGTGTAAGGTAGAAATTTCAGGTGCATAAAATTCAGTATATTTGAATTTTGAAATATAAAATTACAGTTACACGTGTAATGCATTTAACTTAAAAATATACACTATATAGTCAATACCTTGCCTTGAACAAACTTCAGAGTCTGGTGCATTTTGAAACGAGTAGTTCTCCTTTTAACAGCATTTCTTTCTAAAATAAATTCAGAACTTGGAACAAATCCACATTTGGGCTGTGAACATAGCAGGTAATATTATGTGATTGTAGGAAAATGAACAAGTATAAAAAGTAGAAAAACTCTGAACCAAAAACATATATGCACCTTTATCTCAACACATATGCAATGTTCTTTAGGTGCAACTGAAACGAAGAGAAATGTAGGTGTTATTCTGATGATCAGCCACAGATCAATACATCCATAATAAGCAAGCACATGCCCTTGTTATGACTGTGACTTGCAAATTACAATGACAGTCCAAATGTCGAATGTGATCCAAATAATGCAACAGCAGAAACAGAACCATTTTATAATCCAGATGCCTATTGCTTGAAACTGTAAAGATGTGATTCTAAGTAATGATGGGTGCCCTTTTTAACAAACCTACTACACATGCTTTCTGAACTACATCTTTGAGATCAATTGGAGTTCTAGATTACTCTCAGTAGTTTTTTTCAAATAGAAACTAGAAATTTAGTATATAAAACCATAGGATTGTCAATAAGTAGCATTAGTTTCAATATAAAAGCATGAACACAGAAGGCAAGAAAAAAATACCATGGGGGAATGTTGAATGATCGGGCATCAGAATAGCATAACTACTCAAGAAATTTACTTTAGTTGCATCTACCCGCCAAGAGGGGCGTACATAAAAAGCATTCTTTTCAACTGTTTCCAAAAATTCTCTGGATACAATGATGTGAACCTGACAATTCATAGACCAGAAAAGAGAACACATTTAACCATTTTGTTGACCACTGGGAATTAAATCATTGACAGAATTTATACTAACGTACCCCAGCATCAACATGTTTAGCACCCAATAATGGACGCATCACATGTTGGACAAAGAAGTGCCCTGCAATTTCCCTTGTAGGGGCAGATACAAGGTCTTTGACATCTTTCCAAAGATGGCTTTCATGCATAGTTAAGCCTAGATGACCACTTTGACATTCCGACCCATTTGTTGGAACCTTTTGTACCCTCAAAACTTTGCCAACCTACACAGAATAAAGGGAAAGGTTGCAGCCATGGTATCAAATATAGTTAACTCTATCTGCCTTATTTTCAAATGACTCAGTATTCCAACAAAATGAAGATTGATAAAAGGGTAGATTTTGATAGTCATCTCACACAATATTAAAATTTGGTCACAAATCTAACTATAATAGGGTAGAATAATAGAAGTCAGTTGAATATGAACTCAATCTTCACATAAGTAAGGAGTTAATCAAAAAACAAATTGATAGAAAAGATCTTCATCCGTTATTATAAGTAAACCAAAAAAAGCATACAAATTGAGGAGATCTTCCGCAGTAGGAAAGAATCAGATTGGCGCCTCCTTCTCCCTTGTAAGACCATTCTATCGCATCTTTGGCTTCCAACGCCACTGCCATTCTTTTTCCAAAATAAGTATATGTGAATAAATAAAGAAATCATAATGAAATTCGTGATGCAATGCAAACATGGTAAAATGAGGCAGCCTAAGATTAAGAATGTGAGAGCAGTCAAGAAGGGTGGACAATTCAGTTCCAGTTTTTTGGTTTCAAAATAATGCTACTGAAACAAAAACGAAACTATTTTGTTTGGGTTTTGATTTGGTTTAGAAGTTGATAGGGACATGGACCTCCAATAATAATAATACTAGAAGAATTATATTAAGGAGTGTGATATTGTATAAATAAGGGTTTGGGCTAGGTACTAGTTAGCTTGGGCCGGCCCATAAGGGAATCTATTATAAATAGGAGGGGAGTAGAATAAGGGGGTAGGCAGAACTTTGGATCTGGACTCGGGACTTGGGAGAGACAGAGGCACTCTCGAATTCGCCTCACTTGTATCGTTTCTGTTCAGTTTCAACGATTTCAGTTTTAATATTCAACAATTCATCGCCAGATTTCCCCATACCTATCATTGGTATCAGAGCCATCGCCCCAGGGATTCTTTGATCTACATTCACGCGACAAACAATGGAGCAGCGCAGGAAACAGAAGGTGGTAGCCTCTGGTTTGTACGTGAAAATTGAGAAGCTAGTGTCTACGCAAAAGGGGAAGGAACCACATTGAAGATCCGATCGCGGAAAGGTGGGGAAGTGCGCAATCCTGGAGAACGGCTTGAACAGTGAGAAGCGCGAGAATAGCAATGAAAACGTAGAAAGTGACTGGGCGAAGGATATGAGGATCTGGTTGGACAAGATGCGCACCAAGCTGCGTCTACAACGACACCGGCGAGGACGTTCGCGGACCGTGCGACGCTGCCAGAATAGCAAAGGTTCATCATTATCATAGTCCGTGTCGCACGCAGAATCTCCCCCTTCGCTGACTTCATCGCAGACCAGTTCGCAGGTTTCATCGCAGATTTCAGCTTCTCACACTACGCAAGTTGAGTTGGCGTCATTTCCTCAGCAGTATGTGAGTCAGCTACAACTCCCCTCTGAAGATACGTTCATCTATGGTGATGAGGGATGTGACGAGAAATCTTCTATGGTGACTCAACCCTCTATTATCATGGAATATAAATCTGCTGATGATAAAATTGCTGGTTCAAATACTTCAGAAAGCTCTACAGGTACAGCTAATGTTACAGACTCTGTTCAGCCAGAAATCCTTAATGTCACTAGACAAATAGATGAATTTCAAGCTAGCTCGGATACTGCTTCTATAAATGGAATTAAGGGCGGAATGAGAGACGCAGCATTCACCAATGCCCTAGAAAATGAAATAAAATCAGACATTATACATATGGTTACCTCAATGCATCGGCCAGTAGATGATGTTGCAATATCTCAGGAAGTGGAACAATTATTGAGCAGTGTGAAAATAAATTCACTATATTTTGGTGCCGGGGCTGCTAGTATAGAGAAAAATGAGAAAATAGAAGAGGGGAATGATGGAAAGAAGCTTCAAGGAATCACCAGTTCAGACACTGATGTTACTGAGGGACTAATCGAACAGGGATGGATAACGATCTACTTTGAAAAGCACGGTTGCATTGTTCGGTTCTACAATGGCGTGCAAGGTTTCGTTCCCCAGTCTGAGTTTGGATTAGATCCAGGCTCTAACTTAAACTCAAGCTATTCGGTTGCACCAAAGAGGGAGTTAGCAGGGCGCCTTACTGTCATGAAGAAATACTTGTATCTCTCTGATGAATTAGTGAAAAGTACGGCTGGATCAGTTGTATTTAAAATCTTTGACTCTTCAGATGTGCTTGAGCTAGGTAAGGCTGAAAAGAAAGAAGGAAAACAGAAAGAGAATCTACTTAAGTGGTGTAACACTTCCATTTTTTATTCTGAAAAGGGAAAATCTAGTGCTAGCATGAGTGCAGAGTGTGGGAATACACCCAAAAAGAACCCCAGTGATATCAAGCAGCAGGGAAGATGGATCATAGCCAATGTTAAGGACGTCCAGAGCGCCAGATTTCAGCTTAGAAACACAGCAGTTGAGATAGAGCTTTAGTATTATTTGGTGTTGATCCTGCCAGTGTTAATTCAAATCAATTACTTAATGATTTTGAGATGGGAAGATTTTGTGGGGTAACATACGCCCTTGCAATTATGGGACAGGTTTCCTGTAAAGATAAACTCACTACAGCTATTGGGCTTGACATCGTGCATAAACCAGCTATAACTTTCTGGAATATAACTGGAATTGGTAAAGGTTGTTTAGAAGGCAAATGGCAGGTTAGTGCTGAAGCATGGCAGGCTGCTCTTGAATCCTCTACAACCTTATTGGGTTCTGCTGGTGATGCTCCAACCTGTAGGGATCTGGTTATTGGTCATGGTTCATTTGTACCATTGCTAGGTCAGTTGAATGAGCCTGCAAAGCTTTCTATGTCGAGAAACGCTATAGGGACTCTGTTAAATATCTGTCAAGGCCAGTCACAAACACCACTTGACCTGGTCAAAGCTGCATTGCGAGTTCTTCAGGAATTAATCCATATAATTGAGGAAGAAGCTATGACAGATACTTGTTGGGCACCTTCGTATATATCGGATGGACCAAAGGATAAGTTCCAATCAGTAATTGAGGCATCTATCATTGTTCCATGGGTACATCTCCTTCCAAATGCAAAAATTGACATCAAGAAAGAGGCTGCCTGGGCCATCTCTAAGGCTACCTCTGGAGGCCCTCTTCATCCAGTTAGGTTCTGGGCAAGTAATGGCCGCAAAGCTGTGAAAATCTTAGGGGAAATTGGGGCTGAAGAAGTGATGATGAAGGTTCAAGAGGTGAAGCTCCTAGCTCAGAAATGAGGGAGATACTGGGAAGGGAGAGGCGCCAGGATGAAGATGAAATTGAAGATCAAAGCTGTTTCCTATCACCCACCTTGAGGACAAGGTGGTTGTTCAAGGGGGAAGATATGATAGGAACATGGACCTCCAATAATAATAATACTAGTAGAATTATATTAAGGAGTGTAATATTGTATAAATAAGGGTTTGGGCTAGGTACTAGTTAGCTTGGGCCGGCCCATAAGGGAATTTATTATAAATAGGAGAGGAGTAGAATAAGAGGGTAGGCAGAACTTTGGATCTGGACTCGGGACTTGGGAGAAACAGAGGCACTCTCGAATTTGCCTCACTTGTATCGTTTCTGTTCAGTTTCAACGATTTCAGTTTTAATATTCAACAATTCATCGCCAGATTTCCCCATAACTATCAGAAGTGGAGTATTGCATCAGTTTGGATCGGTTTCATAATATTTTATTTAGTCTATTTTGGCTTAATTTAAAAGGCTTGATTTGGTTTCATCTATTCATAAATAGATTGAAACTGCAAAAAACCATTTAAATTAAACAACAATTAACTGATAAAAGTACTGGAAAGCAACAAATAGAAATTTAAAACATACAGTACCTATCTTGTATTCATTTTAGTACTGGAAATGCAGGAAGTATGCAAAAAATGATAGCCAAGAATCATGAGGCATGGAATATAAATAAATACCACATTTTTCACATACCAGCAAAATAAATGAATTAGCCGCATCAAAACATAGCTAATTATAGCAGGAACATAATAGAACTTAGAAAAAAACGTGAAGGTCGATACTCCATAATAAACGACCACAGGGATCCCGCTGAGGGGCGGATCGAGCATTTCAATCAAGGTTGGACCAAAACTTTGACATATATAATATAAATTCAATTGCACAAAAAAGGTAAATCAAAATAATTAATATTACAAACGTTTTTCAAGAATAAGAGTTCTCTTTTCATCCAAGTAAAATACAAAAAAAACATCACAAATTCATAATTATTCTCTATGGGTTTTCATAGAATGATATCACTTGATAATGACATCACTGTGAAATTGTCAATTTTCGAAAAGATATCTTTTTCTGTATGGGTTTACATAGTTTATTTGAAGTTTCCTCAAATAGATCTACTAGAGAGTAGAGACCAATACAATGTTTAGTGAATTATCTTCATTAGCTTCTACATCAATAGATTTATAGTATCTCCTCACACCAACCTTCATTATTTTTATTGACCCTACAACAATCTACAACATCATACGATAAATTAGAAAATAGAAAAAAGGTCCACACAAGTATATTAGAAACAAAATAACATTACGAAAAGTGATTATTATGAAAAGTAAAAGTTAGAGTGTTAGATGAAAAACTGTTTTTTTGTTTATTAAAAATGTGAAAAGCATTTAATGATTTAACTTAAAAAAAGTAAAAGCAACATTCTCCATTCACTTAAAACTACTTAAAATAAAAAACGTTTCTACTGTTTCTCGATTAAAAAACAAGCTTTAGTCGGCCCGTTGGTAAGCCTATTGGAAATCGGTTAAATCACACTGGAATCTGAAACTTGAAACGGAGAATCGCCAAACATACCTAAACAGAGGACGAGAATAGCTTAATCACTGAGGCGGACGGGAAACTCACTCGCAAGCATACTCTCAAGCCTCCAACATCGCAGACTCAGCGACTAGCAAACGCAGTATGAGTCCAGAAGACGAAGTATCAATGCTCCGCGAGGGTGGATCCAGAAAACTTCAAGCTTTGAAAAGGGAGTTTGAAACTGGAAATGAAAGGTGGCGAATCTGTCACCAGCTACTTCACAAGAACAATGGGAATCTACAACAAAATCTGCTTGAAGTTTTTGTTGTAATCTAATGCATTAAATATGATAATTTAATGCATTAAATATGATAATTTAATTATTTTAGTAAAATTTTAATTTCTAATTCGATGTTTTTATGTTGTATATGTATTTTAATATTTTGGGATTAGAGTTTTCTCTTCTTCGTTTCTATCCCTACTTCTGTTTCTGTCTCGATGCTACTTAGATGAGATCAATATTAACAATAATATTAATGCTAATGGGAAAAATCAAATTACTTTAATGTAGGCTCATATAAAACTATGATGAGTCAAATAACCATCAGATACTCTAGTGATCATCTATGGTGAAATGGATGATTCGAACACGATTATAAATTTGATACCATGTAAACTTGATGAATGACTTTTTATCCTTTCGATATGAATGATTCTGTGGGAAAAATTTGAGTGACAATGACAGTAAGACAATTTGTGACTATTTTTTAGCCAAAAGCCATTTGACTTCTTCATACAAACAGGACAAGACCTGCAGTGCTCCATCCAGAAAGCATTTCATATGCAGGGAAGTCATTAATTGCCTACATAGTTGCAACTTTCAATCCAAATATTGTATCTCTTGAAATATCATACTACATGTGTCCTGGTAGAGAGTAGGTGAGAAATAAGAAAAGTAAAATCTGTGTAATTGAGATTTGTATAGAGGAAAGAGAATTGACTTCTAGATGAACCACAAATTACTTGTTTTAATAGAAAAGTGGCAAAGTTTTTTGGGACAATCAAAAAGGGAATGTTGGAGGAATCCAATGGGGCGGAGGGAGTATGTAGGAATACCTACATCTCATAGCTGTTAGAGCTCTTCCACTGATGATTGCAAATACACATCAAGTCTTTTCTTTGAATTATCTGATCATGGGCACATTAGTTGAGGACAAAAACATAAAATGATTTTTCATACACACCTCTAGTTGAAAATTATACGGTGTGATGATAATTGAAAAACAAAAGAATTGACTTCCAAATTGACCGTATGTAGCAAAACCATCTGCACATAAGCCAAGTCGAACATTGTGACTCTATAGCGAATTGGGGATAACACTGGTCAAAATGTTTCCACGCCTTAGAGTATGATGGGTGACACATTAACTCATCTTCAGTGTCATTCTCTACATGTCACGTCACGTGTTTACCAGTAGTGCTTGAGGCGTAAGACCTTTACGATCGTGGAGCTAAAGGAAGGTATGTCAACTTAGATGTTCTAGATCTTTTCCGTGGTCTGTGATCTGTAACTGATAGAACCAGTGTATAATAAATAACTTAGACTCGGCTAATGTCTCATCGTTTATATAACTTTTTATATAAAGTAAAGTATTGAGTGTTTAAATTATTTTCTGCTACCGAAGAGGATTAATAAATAATAATCCACACATATTAAGAAAATCAAGAATATATCATTCACAAATTAAAATACATAAACTTACCTGCTTGGCTGCTTTACAGCTCACGGCTTCAGGCCTTCAACGGCAGTGAGCTGTGAGCAGCAGAGGCCGTAGACCGCAGAGTCGTGGTGCACCGGTGGCTGGTGCGGACTGGCGGAATGCGGACGCACGTGCGGTGCTGGCGGCCCTAGAGTCCTAGACGGAGGTTGCCATGGCCGGTTGGCCCTGGGCTGCGGTGAGGTCAGTGGTCCACGCAGGGCCTGGTCTTCAATTGCCGAAGGCTTCTACAGTTCTTTGCTTATTTCAGACGCAGGGCCTGATCTACAATTATCGTTCTCTATTTTTTGGACTTGGGCTACCTGCCAAATACTACTACGTGTTACGGAGTATTTTTTTGGGAATTTTTGGCAAATGATCCTAAAAGCCAAAATATTATCACTTTTTTTCACTTTCAAAGTTTTTTCAAAAATAGCTAAAAGCGGTGTTTGATTTCACAAATAGACCATTCGTACTATCTACGGTCCTACGGAGTACGGACAACTGAATTGCGGAAATGCCCTCTCCTTCCAAGTTCACTATGCACGTTTGGTTTCAATCATGATTCATGGCATCTTTATTCATAAACTAATATAAATTGCATGCAATTACTCATTGTTTATTTTTAAATTGGAAAAATGCAACAAGATATAAAGATATTAGGTGTGAAAAAAATTAAAAAATAATAGAAGTCCAAAAACTAATAATGAATTTCATAACAAGCAAAAACTCAACATGATAAATAAAAACATCTCAAAAATGAATAAAAAATGCAAAAAAAAAGAAGTTTATAATTTAATTTTTAGAATATGAAAATTTTAAAAAAGTATCGGAAAAATAGAAATTCCAAACTCGAAAATCAAATGTAGAAATTTAATAAGTCAAAAATGTGTTATATTCTAAAAAATAAAAAAAAGTACAGTTTTTAATTCAATTTTTAAAAATAGTTAATATAATTTTTTAAAAAATGTAAAAATTATCAAAGTTCGAAAGTTGTCTAGAAGAAAAAGACTTAAAAGAAAATATAAATATATAAATTAAATATTACAAAATTTTCATAAAATTTAAAAAATGAATTATATTGGAATAAAAAAACAATTGATGATATGAAAATTTTAGGAACACTAAAAAAGGTGCAAAAAGACAACTCAAAAATAAAAAGGTAAAAAATAAAAAATGTTAAAAACTTCGAGCAATTAAACTTATTAAATAAATAGCTAAAACATTTTATTTTTATTATAACTATATTATTTTTTTGTTGCATAATTTTTCTTAGTGTTGCTTTTTGTTTTTAAGACAACTTTTAATAACTTGTTTTTTATTGTTTATTTATGTTGCATGGTGTTGATTCCCATGGAGCAATTTTTTTATGAACGGCAAAGTTAAATTAATTGTCAAGATTGTAATTTACAATATCACAAAGGGGCATACCCCAACTTAATTAACAAAAGCATAAGAAGTCAATGCTTCAAGCACTAATATACTGCACTAAACAAACATAACAACCCCAAACAATCTGCCCAAATCGTATGCTGCCCAAAGGAACAAATAGCAGCATCATACCATTTGCATAGTTGACCCACACAGTCTGCCGAAAGCATCATACAGACATCGAGAAAATTCTGTTCAATGTCAAGTCCTTCATAAAAGCCATTGCTGCTGTTGTTACCCGTTGCAACTCCAAGCCCCTTGTCTATGGGAATAACAGTGGAGATGCTCCAAACTTCCTTCAATGCCCTTGCCTTGAGAGTTGTTGCTCCCCTGAGTGCTGAAACACATAGTAGATATATGCTTATGATTAGGAAGAATAACTCATCAGATTAAGTGTTTTTCAAGAAAAAGCTTGTTGGGAAACAAGTTCTTTTGTGTATGCATAGCTTTATACGGTTTCCTATTATGCTGGCTAAATATTTTGCTTAGCTAAGAGAATAAGGCTAAAACTAGAGGGGGGTTTGGAAGGAAATAGTCGATGACAAACTAATTTTTTCTTATCCTGCAAACAAACAGTGTCTTAGTTCCAATTCCTCACATGTGGAAGCAGCAGCAATGAGAGTTGATATATCCTCGTGAGAGCGGACGTTAATCGATGAGCTAACTGTTGACATGAGGCGATCACGGTCCGCTCCCATAGCTTCTGCAGCATCAGCACATTGCGCAGCCACCAGCATAGCAGCCGAAGCCACTTCCACGTCCGTCTTTGCTGCCGCTTCATCTTTCCCAGTTGAAGACGCTGCCGCAGTGCTGGCTGCCACTACTGCTGCCGAAGCAGCCAGTCCATCGACTGAATCCGCAACGTGGATCTGGGCGTTGCATGCTCTGCTTTCTTCTTTTTTTTGTTCCTTCTTTGCTTCAGCCACTTCTTCACAGTGTTGTTATTCCCATCAATGAGAGTGTTGTTCCTACTGGCCGGTATTATTGTAATTCTTGATGTTTGTGAACAGTTGTATTATGACCATGCACTCCCTAACCTCTATCATCAAAGTACAAGGCAAATCACTACTCAATAATTTGCATACAAAACTCCCAAGGCAGCACAAGATAACCAGAAAAACTACTAAAGCACCACCATAAGATATCCTTGCATCTTCGTATTGTTTAAGGCAATTTTGATAACTGAGCGCGGTAGAAGTGTGCTTTTTATGTCTCAGCCAACAATGACCAAACTTCTGCTACACTTCCTATGAACATAAATCCATCTATACATTGCAAAAATAGCAATCGATGGTGTGTGCCTACACCCAGCCACATATCAAATTACTATGTGCAAATATAATGGAATGGAATCATAAATAAAAATAAACAATAAAAAACAATAGCTGAAAAACGATAAACATGAAGCAACAAGATACAACAAAAAGAAACAAGATACAACAGAAAGCAACAATTAAAAAGCACCAAAAAGAAACAAAAGAAACAAAAAGAAACATAAGGAAACAAAAATAAGAACTCATGAATTGTGTTTGCAATAGTGGATAAAATGATAAATCAGTAACATGAAAGTAGGTAGTCACTTTTTTATTCAAAAAGGCTTATTTGGAGAGTTTCCAAAGAGTTTCCTAGAGTTTCTGAAACGGGAAACATACTCTTTCCCGAGAGTTTCCGTGCTACAAAGGTCAGAGACAACAACCTAAACAAGGTTAACCAATTTTTATGGAAATTAGAGCCTGAAATATGCATATAGAGTATAGAAAGTTCCAAGAGAGACTAATCATTGAAAACCATGTCTCAATTACTTATATCTTAATCTAGCCATGTAAAATTAAGCATATCTATAAATTTAGTTCAGTTTCACATATGAATTTAGAAGTTTAATTTCATCCCATTGATTAATTGTTGCTGGAACTTGAATGAATTTTAATTCGTGCTGAACCAAATTAGTTTGGTACTGGGGCGAAACAATGAATAAGATTTTGTGGAAGTTTATTATTCAATTCAATTTCGATAAAACCTAATAAATGGAAATTTTCAGCTCAGAATGGCCATGTATAGCAGAGTTCCAAATCAAGACAGTGAGATTAAGACAGACAAACAAAGAGGGCCGGAGGAATTACCTTTTGACAGAATATTTTCATATCCTGGGAACTTAGGACTGGTGCGGTGAGCAGATAGGCTATCATGCTATGAGACAAAGAAGCGGCCAGAGAGTTGGGATCCCAGGTTGCGGCTACTGCGGCGAGTTGGCGAAGAGGTGGCCGGATATGACGCTTGATCCATCGAACTCGAAGCTAGAACCGTCACAGGCGTCCTCAGCGGTTCATCCTCTGCAACAGCATCCTCATGACATACTCCAGAAGTCTAGAACTTATATATGACCGCCTCGCCTTCTCCGCCTCCTGCAACGTCAGAGTCAATCTCATCGACGGTGGAATCAATAGCGACTGATCTACCGATTATAGCTGTAGAAGCAACGATTACAACTGCCAGATCCAGAAATTCATTGAGTCTCAGTGCATGAATGACGGCGAGGCTGGAGATTTCGTCCCCAAGTTGTACCTCCTTCTCGATTGCTTCTGTGGCGGATAGGAGGCAAAGGACTGTGTTCGGTGGTGGAAGTTTGGAGGCCGATGGAGTTCACCACACTGGAATGCTTCGCAAAGCTGTAGAGGAGAAGTCGAAGATGAAAACCATGGCGGATGAGAAAGCAGATGAGAGTTGGAGAACACGAGCATGGGAGAGGGCAAGAGATTAATTGTGCCATTCATTTTAAATTTAGAATTAGGCTACTTTTGAAATATTTAAAAATAATTGAAAACTTGAAAGTTAAATTTGAAAAGTAAATCTTAAAGAGACATTAATGAAATTCCAGACCCAAAAGTGTCCCGCTCGGGATATTTCCACTATTTTTTTGGACCTTTCATGTTTTGAGGCCCTGTGAGATGGGACAGTTGCCCCTCTCTTGGGCCAGCCCTTATAGCATCTTTTTGAATAGTTACACGAAGAGCCCATTTGGTGATCCCGTTTTTTGACTTATCAGTCAACTTTTTACCAAATACGTAATTTTTTATTTCGCGTGCTGGAGTATGTAATAATAAGAAAGTGTAAGACTGAAATTACTTTTATGAGTGTATGGCTAAAGTTAATGTAGAGAATCATTTTAGTTATTTTGTCATATAACTTTTCTTTATTTAATTAATAATATACATAGTATATTTTAAATATAATTTTTTTATAAATCAACAGAATCGGTCAATCCAGTCATTTCAGCCAGAACTTCATAAAATTCGGCAGAATTAGCCAATGCAGTCGGGTGGGTATTACCAAACGAGCTCTAAATAGGGGTGGGATCGGGATGATCCCGATCACGATTGCCCAAATCCCGATCCCGTCCCGATCCCGATTCAAACTACAAGAGGATCCCATATCCCATCCCGATTAAGTCGGGACCCCGACATTAAAATCCCAATTAAGTCGGGATCCCGATCGGGAATCCCACTTAATCCCGCTTAATCCCGACAATGAAGTATCAAACATAAGATTATGTAATTTCTTTAGTTAAACACTAACTTTGATATTTAGCGGTTTCAAAATTATTCTTTGTTCATTGTTATACCATATTTATCATCATATACTTATAAAGTTTATTGTAATAATTATCGTCTCAAATTCACACTAGTACATACTTTTAGAATAAATTTTATTTGTAATTTCAATTAATTAATAGTATAATTTTTGAATAAGCTATCAAGGCTTGGTGAAACTTACTTCAAACATTTTATAAAAATCACTAAAAGAAGGATGTGTAACGTATATTATTTAAAATTCAAAACTAAGTAGACTCATTGAGAAACTTTGTGACCAATGAATATAATGTATGTTGGTACACGAGTTGGGCGGCCT